TCAAGAGCCGAAAGAAACATCCAAAATTATTGTTTTATATTATATTATATTATATTATATTATATTATATAAAAAATAAGTGCTTTAAAGTAACTGGAAGAAAATAAAACAGTGGTGCATTTATTATTGGAGTGAAGTGAATACAGAAGAGTCAGTTCTATATTTGTTGGAATCTCATAATCTCGCAGCTCCTCTTGACTGCTGAATGGAAATCAAACAGATGGATGGCTGAGGCTCCTCTAAATCTGGAGACTGAAAGACTGAAATAAAAATAAATAAATAAACATGTTAACAAAACAATTTTAAAACCACAAAAATCAAATCTATTTAAAAAGAAAAACTATTGAGGCTCATTGTCATCAATATATTTCTGATGAACACGCAGGGAAAGGTTTCCTGAAGTGTGAAGTGGCGATATTTATTCATCTGTTCTCGATAACAAAGAGTTTACACAAACAAGGCCGTCCACAGCTGTTTGTGGGGCGCCGACTCCTCTTAATATAGGTACTTGTGTTATTTTGTTATTGCGGTGTTTGTATGTTTTCCACCTACCTGAAACAATTCAGGTTCCCTGGCAGCTTTTCACAGTCTCTCAGGAGAGTCTTTAAAGATGAACAAAAACAGCAAATAATCATAAAATATTTCAGGCCTTTGCTTTTAGTTGTGCATTATTCTTTTTTCATGCTATCTTTTGTCTCTTAACCTTGTGTCATCTGGTGCTGTTTAAATCCTATATTAAATGAAACTGGATTGATGTTTCTCATAAATCAGCACTGGCATTGACTGATTGTAAAATCCTGAGGCAAAAACGATTCTTTCATTAATCTCTATTAAAGCGTTTGGGTCATTGCAGATTTCCTGTCGAGGTCGTTACATTTTGATGATCTTGATTTTATGTTGGTTAGAAGTCACAGCTGTGCAACCTGTATGTGTCACCACCACCACTGAACATCATCCTCATCGTTTAGTGCACCTTTATTCTTCAGTTATGCTGAACAAGTTTTTACTCCAGAAAACAAGAGGGACTCGTGCCCTGAGGACATGTTCCCAGTAGTTACCACCTCATAAGCTGTTATTTGGTTCAGAAGTCAAGAAAGAAAACCTTTATTTAGAAAGCACATCTTATTGTATATTGTATATTGCATAGCTTTTTTTTGTTATACGTAAAATTGTATTGTATTTATTTAAATTTTTACTTTTTAATTATTTTATTTGCATTTTTTAATCACTAGGGTTTGAGAGTAACGAAATTTCTATTCTCTGTATGTCCTGTACATGTGGCAGAATTGACAAATAAAGTTGACTTGACTTGACTTGACTTAATCCAGGTGCAAATGCAAGTTGTGAAACCCCACATGTAAAGCCTCACAGTAAAGCCATGAATTAAACAAATCAGAACAGCAAACATGAAGAAAAGAACACAATAAAAAAGTTCAGTAATAAAAAGACCTAAAACTAAAACCCTAAAGATCCATCCATCCGTTCACTTCCGCTTATCTTTTTCAGGGTTGCAGGGGGCGCTGGAGCCTATCCCAGCTGTCATAGGGCGAGAGGCGGGGTACACCCTGGACAGGTCGCCAGTCTGTCGCAGGGCCAACACACAGGGACAGACAACCATTCACACTCAGATTCACTCCAGCATTCACACCTATGGGCAATTTAGATTTTTCAATTAACCTATCCCCACAAAGTGCATGTCTTTGGATGGTGGGAGGAAGCCAAGTATTCGGGGAGAACCCACACAAACATGGGGAGAACATGCAAACTCCACACAGAAAGACCCCGGCCTGATGGTGGAATTGAACTCAGGACCTTCTAACCACCGTGTTGCCAAAAATCCTTAAACAACAAAACAAAATTGAAAATATAAAGCAGCAAAAACGATTAGAGCGATAAACTTAAACTAAGAAAAGGAGTAGGAATTAAATCAGTTAAGATCAACATCAGTCCACTAAACAGGCCTCACAAGAGTGTTTCAGTCATTTCTTTATCAAGCTGATAAAATTTAGGTTGAAAAAAATGAGCTAATATTTGGCAGAACAAAGAAAACAGGGCTGGGTATCTGATTTCCATAATTGATTTCATTCAATCAATTTTGACTCGGACAGAAATATTATAATTTGGATCGTTTATCTGTACATATCCATATTTTTATATCTGTGTATAAAATAAAATCTGACACTAGTGAGACTTCATCACAGGTGTAAACATCACAGCAGATGCCTTTGTGTCAAAGTTACGCTGGGCATACACGGTGCAATTTATGGCCCATTTTGAGACGAGATCGACTCTTTATAAATCTGACTTTTCCTTTTGTTTTACTTAGTGCTGTCAGCATCAACTCGCTAACCGAGATTTGGGGAGTTTCGCCTTAATCGTGTGTCATGCATGCTTCCTAATGCTGTCTGGTCCGAATATTTAGGATGGGTCAAATTCTGAGTCTCCATATGGAAACAAAAGGATATTTTCCATGTTATACCTTAAATGTGTATAAATGGGATCTGTTGATGTCCAATAAAATTAATAAACAATAAATGTAAATCTGTTTCTTAAAACTTGATAGATTCATTTACCCAGTGAAAGCAAAAAACAAGAATGATAATGGCTTTAAATTGATTATGAACAAAATGCAATGCATTTTGTTTTTGCTACATTAACGACTTCTAACTTTTAGAACTCTGATTTCCTGCAGGACCCACGAGGACCCTAACCCACGCTTGAAGAAAAAAGGCTGGTTCTCAGTCGGTAAATTACTTCAGAAAATGGAAGATGGACAAGAAAAGTTCAAAGCCATCATGTCTTCAGTTTAGAAAAAAGAGAAAAGAAGAGGACAACCCAGGATTCAAATCATGAATACATAATGGGCTTGGATTTACAGCAGTAAATATAAACAACCATGGTCTGGCAGCCAGTCACTTACTGACTGAACAGAATTGTTAACGTATTTACTTTAATTTCAATTCAGTGTGAATTCAGGGAGTGTTCGCCCAGGGCACCAAACAGGCTAGGACCGCCACTGCTGGGCTGTGTTGAACAAAGTGAGTCAGCACCATTTAAATAAATAAAAAATATTGGTCTATTAAATGACTGGCAGCTAGACCATCGCCGGCTTAAAAACAGACGATCTATACTGTCAACAAACAACTCTTCATCTGCATTTTTTCAGAATAAATTGTTTTCTATTTTGTGCACCGGAGTACACCGCTTTACAGATGAAACTCGAAAAGTGGGATAAATACAAAACTACACACACACACACACACTAACTACACACTAACTACACACCAACTACACACTCACTACACACTCACTACACACACACACACACACACACACAGGATGGAGATGGAGATGATAACTTGACATTCATTAGCTCACTGAGTGTAAGCATAGATAGGAGGAATTCCTCCTTCTCATTCATCTGCACTGTGCATCGTGTCAAAAATGTCCATATCTGTCCTTGTAAAGCCTTGTAAATCTTTTTATGCAATTCGTCAAGCGTCTGGATTCAATTACACCTCTAGGAGTACTTCCGGTAAAGTATTATCCACCATTGTCCTTATCTTGGACAACATCTGCCTCTCAGACACCACCCTAACTGAGTCCAGCTCCATCCCCACAACATTGCTGGCCTCGCAGATGAGTTCATTCAGTCTGTTGACATCTGTGACCCTCGACCTGACCCTCCCCCCAGCATGCAACAGCATGGAGGATTGCACTGACCACAACAGACTCACAGAAAATCCTGAGGATTGTCCGACAGATGTTGAAGGACCTCAGCCGACTGATAAGACGATGAGTTTTACTTCTCACTGTTTTATAGCGTAGTATCCATCATGTATGCTACTTTGCTCAGTGGACTCTTAAAAATATTATTGTGTTCTTGAAATAAACCAACAACAAATACAAAACCCACTAACTATCTATTAGCTGCTTTTTCCCTAAAACACAATCAGGCGAGAGAAATAGTCCACTTTGTGAATGCTGAAGGAGATTTCTTCCATCTTATTAGTACAAAAGGTTGTTCTTAGTAAAACCTGTGCTTTTGTAACATTGAGGATGGGGAGAGCTGGAGGCTGCATGCCCGGATGGAAAGCTTTATTACATTTTATTTACATTTGTTTAATTCAAAAAAGGAAAATTTAGATAAAAAGGAAAGTTAGATTTACAAATGTGCAACCTGAGCGTGAGACTATCACACACTCAGAAGGATCCCAGAGAAAAGTTAAACTGTGTCTTCACACAGCAGCCAGAGTGTGTAATATGACAATTTCTCTGACTCACAGGGTGACCCCTGGCCACGATCTCGAACTCCTCCCAGACTCTTTAAAGTCATTTAAGAGACACAGGCTCTTCTCCACTGAGAGCCTGGGGGACGGTTTTGATCTGACCAAGCAGCCAAATTTACTCTGATGAGTGAAGACTGCAGTTTTTGAAACCACCAGCTCTGCAGACACTAGAAAAATCCGCAAATCTGTACCAGCTGCCCTGTGATCCAGTGTTTCTGGTCCCCTCATCACATCCATGCTTTTTCTTCCACTTAAAACATCACTTTTTTGTGAACACTTTTCTAAGTATATTATACTTTTAAAATGTGGCACATGTAATGTGATCATCAAAGAACATGATCTTTAAGAAAATCTTTAATCATATGAAAGCATTTCATATTTTGATGAAACTTTTATAATGTTTTTCTTACACTGTGTGGAATTTTTATAGAAACCTTGTTCATTGTATGAATGTGTAATTAATTATCTTTTTATCTATAATAAAATGTTTAATCTTGCATTTTTGTACTTTGTGGTTATTGAATAAAAATGAGTCACACATAGCACTGATAGACGCAGACGACTGAAAGAAATGTTTGATGGAAAATGAAACGAGTGTTGTAAAGAGAAGG